AGGAAGCCATCAGCCAAATATGAAGATTCTATACCTTTTAGTTCTTTAGAAGAAGTCGTTTGAAGTTTTTGACATATTTGACCCCTGTGACCTTGAAAACAGGTCAAGGTCATTTTCGTTCTCAAACTTTGTAGGGCTCCTACCAACGAAGCTTTCAGCCAAATATCAGGACTCTAGGCCTGTTCGTTCTTCAGAAGAAGTTGTTTAAAGGAAAAGTTGACGGACGAGGATGGACGGACGGACGACGGACGCCGCGCCACGGCATAAGCTCACTTGGCACTTCCTGCCAGGTGAGCTAAAAAAAACATGTACAGTTAGGATACAGCATATATATATATTTACCATGTGCATGGATTATACATGTTTACCTCTTCAAACACAATCCACGACGATATCATTCTTTTGAACTTTCTGTCACCACTCTATAAAATAGCTGAAGATTGCAGCTTGGTAATTCCTGTAAGAACTCTAATCTAAATCAGGGATTTATAACTATGGAGTTTCTATCGTTATAAATCTCTTTCAAAAAGTCTTTGGTAGATCGTTACCCTCCCCCCCCCCCCCCCCTCCCCACACACACATAAACAGCATCAATCCATATGGCCGATGTCATTTACAATCTACATACTACGTATATGGTACGTAAATGATTACTACCTTTGTGTCTTCCTTGTTTCACGCTGTACACCAAGTCTGTGAACTCAATATTAACAGCTTTCCGTTCAGAAATATTTGCAAATTGACAATTCTCGAATCTGTTGATAACTTTCGACGATGAATCGTTGTCAGATGACGAAGATTTGCGACTGTTGTTACGACCATCGCTAATCCCTATGGGTAATGGAAGATGTGAATGTGTACACAGTAACTCCGCCATTGCTGTCAAATCCTAGGTGCTCAAAAAAGTCTCGTTATTTTCTCCAGAGATACGTCGCCATTTTCCCGTATTATTCTTTGTCTTTCATGGCCCCGAGTGATGGACCAATCAAAACTCTCCTATGAGGACTAGTCGATATTTGCAAAGGGATACAGGTTTAGTTTTATATTTCTAAATATCAATTGATGTATTTTTAAAGTCATTAAAGTATATACTCATGAGCCTATAATGGGGTTGGAATTGTTTTTTAATCTTGACAAATATCCATCGATACATTATGAAAATATGAAAGCAGTGTGCATCGTCTTGCACCCTTCTCTTTTCAGTTCACCGGAAGTAAACAAATAACCATGTGACCAATACACGTTGCCTAAGTAGACTTGTAACAGTCCGAAAAAAAAAGATTTTTTTTTAATTATAACAGAGACGTATATCAGGCGCGGATTTAGGGGGGGGGACCCCCCCCCCCCCTTTCCGGGCCGGCCCGAAATGGTTTGATCGGCCGGGAATGGGGACACATTAACATTTTAAAATGCATCAAATAATGCACGGAGCTTTTATAAAAAAAATCTGGGGCTACGCCCCACACATCCCATTCGGCATCCTAGCAAATATTGTGGTTTCCGTTATCTGATATTTTTACTGTATTTTCTTTATTAAAACAATATTTGTTGGCATCGCTACGCTCGTCTACTTTGTATCTTGACCCTAAAGTGTTTTATTTTTATTTTACCACCTCCGCAAAACCCCAAGTTGCAACTTGCAACGCTCGGCGGAAATATACTAGCATAAGTTGCATAATTATAGTATTGACCGCTCGTTATAGATGATTTGAAAATTAATACTTTTTATCATCACCTTCCTAACCGCCCGGGCGATATTAATCATATCATTATACAAGAACGATAAAGGTTTTTTTCGGCTGACAATATTATGTATAATCGACTAAACATATAATCGACTAAACATATCCATTCAATTATTTTGGTATTATCTATACAAGTTAAAGTAAACGCTTTTTATCTGATGGAAGCTGTAAACCTAACAATGCATTATAGAACTGATACAGTGTTTCGTGGATATATTTCAGAGGCAATGCAACGCGGACATCAAAAGGTGCCGCACCCTTGTTTTTAAAACAAATACATTGTCCGTCGACACTCACTGTGACCAATAGTAAAACTAAATTGAAATATACTTTTACAAATTCGAAATTATTTACATCTGGTATCAGGGCTTCCTAACTGTTTAGTTCAGCTATATTCTATCCATAAATCTAATTCCTGCCAACGTGCTTGATATTGACAAAACCCTATGGAAAGCCCTGAAAGCAACAGGGAATGGCGATTGTCTTTACAACAGCGTTTCCATTTTAATGAAAGGTTAGTAGTTGTCTTCCCTTTATGCTGAGGTATTCTTTTAACAGGCGCAGACCATTTATTTTATTTGGTTGACTTCATGCACAATAACTTTTTTTCTAAAGTTTTAACAGCCCTCCTCCCTACCCCCCCCCC